TTTTTCTTGTTTGGTTCCTTTTTTTATCGGTTCTTTTTCCTTTTTTGGCAATTTTCCACTATTATTCATAGCTTTCTTACACTTTTTTGATGTCATTTTCTTAAGTGGTTTTGTTATCGTATTCCTTATTTTGTAATTCCTTTGTTATAAACTTAATTCTGCCATTTTTTTTTATCGTGTTTGCTGCCACTTTTCGTCGCATTTTATTGTTTTTCTTATCAGTTTTTTGTCTATTTTTGGCTAATTTTTTTATGGATTTGTTCCCTCATTTTTATCATATTTTTGGTGCGTTTTTTTTTGTTGTGTTTATTATAGTTCTTTTTGGTTCCTTTTTTGTGGATTTTTTGTCATTTTTGTTGGGTACTTTTCTGCAGTTTTTGCTGGCACGATTTTTTCTAGACTTTTTCTTTCTTGTCGCATTTTCCATCCCTTTTTGTCTTTTTTGCCGTTTTTATAGCTTTTTTCACTTTTTCTCACTTTTCGTCATTTTGTTGGCCACATTTTTCTGTATTTTTTGCCGGTGTCTGCTTTTATATATATTTTTTTGTAACCTTTTTGCTCCCTTTTTTAAGTTACCTTTTTATGCGATTGTTTTTATCTAATTGTCCTCGTGGCACCTTTTTTGGCTCCACTTTTTAATCTCTTTTTTGTTGCGTTCTTGACTTTTTTGCTGCTTTCGTTGATGCCCTTTTTGTCCTCGTTTTTCATCTTTTTTTTTCCTTTTTTGTCCCTTTTATCTCCTTTTGTTGTACTTTTATGTCGGAATCTGACACTTTTCGTCGCTTTTTTACATTCCATTTGTGTCTTTTTTTTCTCTCTTTTTTTAAGTTTCCTTTTCCTTTTTTAAATAATTTTTTGTCGCCTTTTGTGTTTTTTGCAACTTATTTCTTGTTTGGTTCCCTTTTTTATCGGTTCTTTTTCCTTTTTTAGTACTTTTCCACTACTGTTCATAGCTTTCTTATACTTTTTTGTTGTCATTTTCTTAAGTGGTTTTGTTATCGTGTTCCTAATTTTTTTATTCATTTCTTATAAACTCAATTTTGGCTTTTTTTGACGCTTTTTGTAGTCCTTTTATCCGTTTTGGCCTATTTTTTACAGTTTTGTCCCGTTTTGGCTAAATTGTTTATGGATCTTTTCCCTCATTTTTATCACTAAAATTTTTGTGTGCTTTTTGTTGCGTTTATTATTTTTTTTTGGTCCCTTTTTTGTGATTTTCTTGTCATTTTTGTTGGGTACTTTTTGTAGGTTTTTGGCACCATTTTTTTTCGACTTTTTTCCTTGTCGCATTTTTCCATTCATTTTTGTCTTTTTTTGACGTTTTCATAGCTTTTTTCACTTTTTCTCGCTTTTGGCCGCTTTGTTGGCCAACTTTTCTTTTGTATTTTTTGCCGGATTCTGCGTTTTATATCTTTTTTTGTAGCCTTTTTGGCTTCCCTTTTTAAGATACCTTTTTATGCGACTATTTTTATCTAATTTTTTCGTGGTATTTTCTTTTGGGTCCACTTTTTAATCTCTTTTTTGTTGCGTTCTTTTGACTTTTTTGCTGCTTTCGTTGATGCCTTTTTTGTCCTCCGTTTTTATCGACTTTTTTTCCTTTTTGTCCCCTTTTGTGGTACTTTTTTGTCGTTTTTGCCACTTTTCGTTGTTTTTTTGCATTCCATTGTTATCTTTTTTCGACACTTTTAAATATTTTTTTGTCAACTTTTGTGTTTTTTTTTTCCTTTTTATCGGCTCTTTTTCCTTTTTTAGTACTTTTCCACTAGTGTTCATAGCTTTCTTACACTTTTTTGCTGTCATTTTCTTAAGTGGTTTTGTTATCGTATTCCTCATTATTAATTCTTTTGTTATAAACTTAATTCTGCCATTTTTTTGTCGCATTTGCTGCCACTTTTCGTCGCATTTTATTGTATTTTTTATCAGTTTCTTTTGTCGATTTTTTGTAGTGGTTTTGCCATTTTTTTTACAGTTTTGTCTCCTTTTGGCTAATTTTTTATGAATTTTTTCCCTCATTTCTATCATATTTTTTGTGTGCTTTTTTGTGGTGTTTATTATACTTTTTTTTTTATTCCTTTATGTGTGGATTTCTTGTCATTTTTGTTGATTACTTTCTGTAGCTTTTTTGGTACCCTTTTCTTTTCGACTTTTTTCCTTTTTGTCGCATTTTTCTATCCCTCGTTGTCTTTTTTGCCGTTTTTATAGCTTTTTCACTTTTTCTCACGCTTTGTCGTTTTGTTGGCCACTTTTTTTGTATTTTTTGCCAGTTTCTGCTTTTTTTTATGTTTTTTGTAAACTTTTTGACTTTCTTTTTTAAGTTACCTTTTTATGCGATTGTTTTTATCTAATTTTCTTCGTGGCACTTTTTTTGATTCCACTTTTTAATCCCATTTTTGATGCGTTCTTCTGACTTTTTTGCTGCTTTCGTTGATGGCTTTTTGTTCTCTTTTTTATCTCCTTTTTTTCCTTTTTTTGTCCCTTTTATCTCCTTTTGTTGTACTTTTTTGTCGGATTTTTGCCACTTTTCATCGCTTTTTTGCATTCCACTTTTCCCTTTTTTTTGCTCTTTTTTTAAGTCCCCTTTTTCTAAATAATTTTTGTCTCTTGTGTTTTTTGCACTTTTATTCTTATTTGGTTCCCTTTTTTATCGGTTCTTTTTCTTTTTTTGGTGCTTTTCCACTATTGATCATAGGTTTCTTACACTCTTTGGCTGTCATTTTCTTAAGTGGTTTTGTTATCATATTCCTCATTTTTTAATTCCTTCGTTATAAACTTAATTCTGCTATTTTTGTATCGCGTTTGGTGCTACTTTTCGTCGTATTTTATTGTTTTTTTTAATCAGTTTTTTTTGTTGCTTTTCTGTAGTCTTCTTTTACAGTTTTGTCCCTTTTGGGCTAAATTTTTTATAGATTTTTTCCCACATTTGTCCCTTTTTTGTGGATTTCTTCTTATTTTTATTGGATCATTTTGTGTTTTTTTTGGCATCTTTTTTTTCGACTTTTCTCTATCTTCGCATTTTCCACCCGTTTTTTGTTTTTTTTGCTGCTTTTTTTTATTTTTTTGTCTTTTTGTATCTTGTTTGGTTCCCTCTTTTCAACAGCCACTTTTTTGTGACTATTTTTATCTAATATTTTTGTGGCACATTTTTTGCCCCCTCTTTTAGTTTCCTTTTTGTTGCGATCTTCTGACTTTTTTACCTCTTCTTTGTCGTTCATTTTATCGGCCTTTTTTCCTTTTTTTGTCCCTCTTTTATCGTCTACTTTTGATACTTTTTTGTGGGGTTTTTCCCTTTTCCGTCGCTTTTTCATTCCGTTTTTGTCTTCTTTTTTTCTCTCTTTTTTTGACATTTTCTTTATGATTTTTTTTAATATTGTATCTTTGCCACGTTTTTTGGCACCTTTTTATAACTTGTATTTCTACCTTCTTTAAGGGCTTTTTTTTCTTTTTTGTCGTAATTTTTCCACTTTTTTATCCCTTTATATCGCATTTTATTTTACTCTTTTTTTTTGTTACGGTTTTTAGTGATTATTTACCTTGTTTTATCGCCTTTTTTTTTGTCGCTTATTTTAGGACCCTTTTTAGCGCTTTTTTGTACTTTTTCCTCTTTTTTATATGTTTTTTTACAGTTGGGTCCCTTTTATTGACTTTTCTTTTTTTTAATCCCTTTTTATTATCCTTTTTTTGTTGTTTTTTTGCTCCGCTTTTTGCAGGTTTTTAATTTGTTTTATTGCCTCTTTGCTTTTCTCCATTTCTTTAATTCCTTTTTAGTTTTTTGTCGTTTTTTAGCCCCCTTCCTGATTTTTTGTCCATTTCTTATCGGTCGTTATTGGCCAGTTATATTGTTAGTTTTTTTTTTCTATCAACCTGGGATCAGCTGCCAACAACAAAAATTTGCCGTCTTTACGTTTTTTTGACGCATTTTTTGCCACTTTTGATCGTATTTTGTTGTGCCCTTTTTGAGTTTTTTGTTGCATTTTTTATCACTTTTTGTAGCTTTTTTTAGTTCGTTTTTTAGTTGATTTTTCTGCATTTTTTATGGATTTGTTGTCACTCTTGCTAGCTTTTTGTTGCTTTTGATGGAGCCTTTTTTGGTTCCATTTTTTTTTTTAAATTCATTTTTCCCCATTTTTAATAGCTTTTTTGTAGCTTCTTATATTTTTAGGCTTTTTTACAATTTTAAGCTTTCACAGGTTTGGTTTTTCAAAAATGTTCAATACCATTATCTTTGATATTTTATCTTTGTTTAGGTTTGTTATAGAAGTTTTAATGTTTAAATTAGAAGTAATAACTATAAGCGATCCTCTGTTATCATGGTCGAAATCACTTATGTGATCGGGTACAAGTTGTTGTGGTGAATGGAGTAAAATCCAATATTTGTCTAAAGATGTTATGAAGAGTGCGTCAAGGGTCACACTGATCCCATATTATTTTATTTTTTTATTAATGATGTGAAAGACAAGTTTTACAAACGAACTGAAAATTTTTCGAAAAATTGTGTATCTAATTTCCATTACATCTTTACTAGACTGGATAATATGGAACTCGATATTTTGAACCGTAAACACCTGCGTTTCAGTAGCAGACGCCATAAAATTGATTCTAAAGCGCCAATTTTATCAGTCGACAAACTATGTTTCAAAGCACCCAAATAACTATTAAAAATAAAGTAACTTCTAGGAAAACGTCATTGAACTAAAATCCCCTGCTACAAAGGTGAATCCCCCCCCCCACTTCCGCATTTGTTGCAAACACACTCGTCCAAAATTTCATTTAGCCCTGCTGCAGACACGAATCGTTTTCCCCGCTTTATTTTTCTTCTTTCTCCGGAATCGCTGTTGTTTTATCCGGGCGGAAGTTTTGGAAATATGAAATGACGATAAGTTTGCGCTGCTGCAGAATTTTAGCTGTCTGTTTCCATCGGAACAGTGAAATTCTATAATGGGGCGCGCTGGCTTTTTCTTTCTCCTGCTAAGGTTGATACGGAATAATCTAATCATGTTCCCTACCTTCCCAGAGATATGGCGGCGCTGAGTGCGGTGAGCTCAGCCCACGTGACTGGCGTCTTGCAGCATCTCACCGCCTTCCCGAGAACGGCACCTCCGGCATTCCATCCAGGTGGTCCAACGCCATAAACCCTGGAAGAATCATGAACTATAATAACGTTAAAATGGAGAAATATAAATTAGTACAAATACGTAATAGTCCCTTTTGGTATGGCGAATAGCGGTGTAATTTTGTTAGGCAAGTCGGTATTGCTGAAGGGCAACGAGGCGCTCAAGTTCTCGCTATTCTCTGAAGTCCATCTTGCTACAGACGCGTAAATTAATTTACTTGAAAAAAACGTCGACAAGGCTCCTGGCAAACTAAGCTTTACTGCGATTCGTGTGGGCGATATGCTGGGTGTACATAAATGTTTGTCGTAAAGATAAGCCGCTCTGTAGCCTAGTGGTCAAGGCATTCGCCCGGCAAGTGGGAGATGTTTAGGTCAGGTTTAGCCTAAAATCCGCTTTTTACCCATTACTCAAGATATGTATTTACGCTCAGTTGCAAACCGGCACCTCGTAAACCAAACCACCCGGAATCCTCCACTATTTTAATACTTTCTGAATATTCCATTCTGCTATGCAACACGTCCCGCTCGTAAACCATAAAAAACGCGCATCCTCCCCTCCATAAAGATAAAATATTAGAACACTATAGTGCAATTACTTAATAATCCCCCATAAATATTTTCCGGCCAATAAAATACCGATTGCGGAAGTAGGACGTCGTCAACATCCGTAGTGTTGACGCAAAACAACTCCCTCAATATGAATTTTTATTCCTTAAGACAAAGAAAAATGGCACAGAGCCAGGCCAGGAGCATAATTTATGTTTGTGTCAAAAATTTGTCTGCACCAACATTATCGCGATGAATCTTGCTCAAGCGCACGGCTGAAGGAAAGCGACGCCGCTTTTTGCTAGGAACATCCTAGATAAAAATCAAGACTGAACGGGAAGAGGTTGGGGAACGTCGCAGCTGCAGACAGTTTGTATTTAAATCGACGGCGATTGAAAAGGTACGACGGAAGAGATAAGGATTACTTACTTACAGCGGAAAAATGTCCTTTCAGCAATAACAACAAGGTTAAATTCAAGTGTTTGTGGTTATACGTCAAACGAATCTTACATACACAGGTCAACGGTTACTAATTTGGACTTTTTACACAATATCTCTACGAAAATCGAACAAATTCGGTCGATCCTCAGGGACTCACCCTGGCTCTAAATCATTCTTCACAAGTATCGGTGATCCGGGTATGGATAATACCCAGATTAATCTCTAAAGTTTTTGATTGAATTGGTGAATTTTCCGGTTTCATTTCCATTTGTTAAAAATTTCAGCCGTCTTAAGCGCCCGTTTATAACAAAAAAAAATTGGTCTAAAGAGTTTAGACAGTACTTCCCTCGCTATCGGAAACTTGACGACTGCATGCCTATTATGTTTTTTTGTCTCATAACATTTTTGTAGTGGGAATTTAAAAAAAAATTGCGATAAGGTCATCAACATTTTTGCAAGGACACGTATATCAGTTGAGATAGATGTAGTGTAATACTAAGAATAAAATTATTGTATTCCCAAATTTTCGGGAAAATGAATTATAGGAATTATTCAGCAAAATTTAGGGGTTACGTCATCAATTTTTTTAGGGGGGATGAACAAATACATTTTGAACAAAAGTTTACCATGCTTATGATAACTTTAAAATATCTGCAAGATTTCAAAGCATTCGGTTTTGTAATTCTTGATTAAATCGATAAATAAATTGACGCATTCATTAATTTTTTTGAGTCACCCTGTATATGCAAATCGAAAAAATTTGAATGGAATGATAAATCACAACAAGAGACTCACCATATTTTGTACATTTTAGATAGGATTTATTCAGCAAAATTTTGTAATGACGTCATAAATTTTTTAGGGGGGACGACCAAGTACATTTTGATCAAAAATTTACCATGCTTATGATAATTTTAAAACATCTTTAAGATTTCAAACCATTCGGTCTTGTAGTTCCTGAGTAAATCAGTAAAATAAATTTTGCGCATTCATTAATTTTTTTGAGTCACCGTGTATATGCAAATCCAAAAAATATGAACGGAGTGATGTATCACAAGTACAGACGCATCATATTTTGTACATTTTAGACAGGATTTATTCGGCAAACTTTTGAGCTGACGTCATCAAGTTTTTGGAGGGGATAACCAAATATATTTTGACTAAAGATTTATGATGCTCTTTAGAGCCTTAAAACATCTGCAACATATTAAAACATTCGGGTTAGCAGAGTCAAAATTAAATTGCAAAATGTTGTTTTATAATTTTGATTTTTTTCCAAAAATCTGGACGTTTCGGGTATAAACTCAATTAGGACTCGTAAACTACATGTGAAATTGAAATTGAAATTGAAATTGAAGTTGAAATTGAAATTGAAATTGAAATTGAAATTGAAATAGAAATTGAAATTGAAATTGAAATTGAAATTGAAATTGAAATTGAAATTGAAATTGAAATTGAAATTGAAATTGAAATTGAAATTGAAATTGAAATTGAATTGTAATTGAAATTGAATTGTAATTGAAATTGAAATTGAAATTGAGTTTATTGGTGCATAATACATAATACATACATGTTTTGCACAGGTCAGCGAATACAAATTACCAAAATCTTAAAACTATATTTTACCAAAGTCACAATTCCAAAATTCTTTTATACTATATAGTGCCCGATTTGTTAAAAATCGATTTTTGTTAAAAAATCGGGCACTATATAGCATGTGTAGGACTATGCTATTTTGTACAATTTAAGACCCATTTATATAATTCAGCTCTGCAGGCCTTAAAGGCCCTGGGCTTTTTTTACAATAATTTTCCATTTGTTCCTGTCGGCTGCTTTGGATCTCCAATCTTCAATGCCTAAGTTTCGAAGATCTTTTCGAGCATCGTCTATCCATTTCAGTTTTGGCCTTCCTCTCTTTTTCTTTCCTCCTTTTAGGCGGTCTAATACTTTCCCGATTGTCCTTTCCTCTGGTGCTCTTCCGACGTGGCCTAGCCATCTTAGTCTCTGTGCTCTGATTATCTCGTGATTGTTGGTTCTCCGTATATTTCCTCGATCTCTCGGTTTGTTTTTCTTCTCCATTGGTCTAGTTCTTTTATACCTCCATATATCTTTCGTAGTATCTTGCGTTCCCATACTTCCAAATTCTGTTCCTTTTGGTTCGTTAGCGTCTATGTTTCACTAGCGTACAGGACTGTAGGTCTTACTATTGTCTTATATACTTGTTTCTTTGTTCGTCGTGTTACATTCTTACTCCTCAGAAATCTGTTTAATCTTCCTACACTCTTGTTTGCTTTCGCGATCCGTTCTTCTTTCTCTTCGTTCATTTCGTTTTTGTTTGTAATTACTACTCCTAGATATTTGAACCTATTTACTTCTTCGAATTCGTATGTTGTTCCTTCTTCTGTAGTTACTTTCAGTGGTTTTGCTGGGATTTGTTTTGTTTCCATCTTCATACACTTCGTTTTCTCTTGGTTGATTGCTAAACCCATTCGTTTCGCTTCTCTGATTAGATTTTTTGTCATTTTCTTCATTTCTGCTTCTGTTCTCGTTATACATGTCACGTCATCTGCAAAGGCTATATTTTGGTGTCTTTTTTCGTATATCGTGCTCGTTCTGTGGATGCCACTTCTCCTTATTATTGCTTCGAGTACTAGATTGAACAGGGTAGTTGATATTGGATCTCCTTGCCGGAGTCCTGTTCTTACTTGGAATGGTTCTGACAACAGACCATTTATCCTGATTCTGTTTCTGGTGCTCTGCAGGGTCATCTTTGTCAGTTTTATTAGTTTTCTTGGGACTCCCAGTTCTTTCATGGCTTCTAGCAGTTCTTTCCTGTTAACCGTGTCATAGGCTTTTTTAAAGTCTATGAACAGCAGATATAAGTTGATTCCCTGTTCGTAATGTACTTCTTGTAGTTGCTTCAATATAAATATCTGGTCTACAGTAGATCTATTTTTCCTAAACTATTTTTTCCATATGCTGCCTTAGTCTTCGGTTGATGCAAGTGGCCATTACCTTATACGTTACTTCTAGCAGCGCTATTCCGCGACAATTTTCGCATTTCGTAATATCTCCTTTTTGAAATATCGGGCAAAGTACTGCTTCACTCCATTGTTCTGGCATTTTTCCTTCCTTCCAACATTCTAGCACTAGTCGATGTATCTCTGATTATACTGCTTCTCCTCCGTACTTTAGCATCTCGCCTTTATTCCGTTTCTACCAGGACTTTTGTTGTTTTTTATCTGCCTTAGTGTTTCTCTGATCTCTCCTTCGTCAATTTCTATTGTTTCATCTGGGTCATCCGACTCGTTCACTCTTTCGTTCGTATCTTGCTGTGTATCCTGTTCGTTTAGCAGCTCTTCAAAGTATTCTGCCCATCGTTTTATTCTTGCTTGTTTGTCTCCTATCAGGTTGCCGTCCTTGTCTTTACAATATATTACTCGTGGTTGATAGCCTCTTTTCTCTTTTTTCACGTCCTGGTAGAAGTTCCTTATTTCATTCTTGTTAAAGTTTTCTTCTATTTGTCGTATTTGTTCTTCCATCTTTGCTCGTTTCTTATTTCTGCATATCTTCTTGTACTCTTTCCTTTTTTCTAGGTAATCTTTTTGGTTCTTCTCATTTTTTGATTTTAGATATTTCTGTCTGGCTGACCTCCCCGCTTCTATTGCTTTTCCACATTCCTCATCAAACCATTCGTTTCTATTTTTGTTGTCTTTTTTGACGAACCCTAGTACTTCTTCCTAGGTCTTCCATATGTTCTCTTGTAGTTCTTTCCACCTCTCTTCTATAGGTATGTCTTGCTCTGTTGATCTTATTCTCTCATTCATCTTTTGTTCGTATTCCTGTTGTGCTTCAGCTTTCTTAAGTTTGTTTACATTTATATCACGTTGCGTCTTCTTTCCTTCTTTTTGCTTCGGTATTTCTTGTTTGAGGTCTGCTCTTACTAGAAAGTGGTCTGAATTCGCTTCTGCTCCCCTGTAGCTTCTTAATCTGGTTATTAGTTGGGCATCTCTCCTTTCTACCAGTATGTGGTCT